ATCAATCTTGTATGTCTCTATTTGTTTTCCTGAGAAACCACTTTGAAGATATCAATAAGTAATACAACAATCATTGTTAATTTCCCACAACTTTTTCTGTAACTGTTTTATTTATATTGTTCTTATGCTATTTTGTAAATCGATGTCTGTTTGTTAACTATGTTTTCCTTTTATTTCTTAAAAAAAAAAAAAAAAAAAAAATCAATAACATCACTATACAAAAACAACAAACACAATGAGAGAGATTAGGGAATCCACACCCTTCACAACAGCATCCCCCAAAAATGAAATACTTAGGAATCAATCTAACAAAGGAAGTAAAAGATCTATACAGTGGAAAACTATATAACTCTGAAAAAGGAGATTGAAGAAGATTTCAGAAAACGGAAAGATATTCCTTGCTCATGGATAGGAAGAACCAACATTGTGAAAATAGCCATACTCCCAAAATTGTTACACAGATTTAATGCAATCCCAATCAAAATACCATTAGTATACCTCACAGATCTAGAGAAAACATTCCTAACATTCATTTGGAAACAGAAGAGACTGAGAACAACAAAGGCAACCCTGAGCAACGAAGGCAAGGCAGGAGGCATCACAATCCAACTTGAAATTACACTACACAGCTACTGTGATAAAATCTGCATGGTACTGGCAAAAACACAGACCTGAGGATCAGTGGAACAGATCAGAAGTTGCAGACACAACTGCAAACACACTCAGACCCCTTACTGCTGACAAATCAGCCAAACATGTTCACTGGAAATTAAGATAGCCTCTTTAATATACAGTGCTGGAATAATTGGCTGTCTACATGCTGAAGACTAAAACTAGACCCATCTCTATTACCACGCATTAAACTAACATCAAAGAGGATCAAAGATCTAAAATTTTTTTTTTTTTTTTTTTGGTTTTTCTCCAGTACCGGGAACCGAACTCATGACCTTGCGCTTGCCAGGCAGGCGCTTTGCTGCTGAGCTAAATCCCCAGCCCCAAAGATTTATATATTAAAACAGAAACACTAAATCTCCTGGAAGAGATAGAGGGTAGAAATCTTAAAAGACATAGGTGTAGGCGGAGACTTCATGAAGAAAACTCAGACTGCAAGGCAAATACTTCAAAGAATCAACAACTGGGATCTCATTTTATTAAAAAGCTTTTGGATAATAAAAGAAACTACCAAGAGAATGAAAAGACAACCCAGAGTGGGAAAAAAATTTAGCCAGTTGGCCCTCAGAAAAAAGATTCACATTCCAATCCAAAAATTGTCATCTGACATGAAGACGCACTTCTCAGATGAAGAAATACAAACAGCAAATATATGAAAAAATGTTCAACATCATCGGTCATTCAAGAGATGCACATTAAAAACAACATGGATATTCCATCTCACTCCAGAAAGAATGGCTGTTCGACCAATCGACCAATAACCAATGCTGGAGGGGCTGTGGGGGAAAAGGAACCCTTATCCACCATTGGTGGGAATGTAGACTGGTGCAACCACTGTGGACATCATTGTGAGATTCCTCAAAAAGGTAGGATTAGGGCCAGGGATATAGCTCAGCGGCACAGTGCCTGCCTGGCAAGCGTAAGGTCATGAGTTCGAGTCCTAGTACCAGAAAAAAAAAAAGGCTAGGATTAGAGGTCCCTTTTCATCCAACTATTCCCCTTCTGGGTATCTTCCCAGAAAAATTTAAAACATCACATCACAGCAATATATGTGCACCCATGTTTATAGCAGCACAGTTTGAAACAGGTAAATCTTGAAAACAACCCAAATGCCCACCAACTGACTAATGGATAAAAAAGATGTGGTATTTTTATACAATGGAGTACTACTCAGCCATGAAGAAGGATAAACTTGAGACTTTTATAGGTAAATGAATGCAACTTAAAACCATACTCATAAATGAAATAAATCAGACCTACATGTGTAAACATTGTATTGTCTCCCTGGTGTGAGAAATTAAAAGAGTAAATAAGGTCTAAAATGTACAGTAGATATTGTGAAATAGGAAGAAATGGTTCAAAAGGCAAAAGGAACTAGGTTAGGGAAAAGGGGAAAGGAAGGAAGGGAAAAGGAAAAAAATGCAAGTTAGTTACACTATTAATGTCTGTTAGTTCATTGAAAAGGAAGGTTCGTGCTAATACTGATTGGAGAATTTTTATGCCCATATCTTGCAGTGAGTAACTACTTTAAAGATAACAATATGCAATGTATTAACTACTGCTATTCTATTTTGTTGAGAAATTGTTTTAATTTTTTCCATTAAAAAAGATGATATAACATGCATGCATTTTAACGTAAAGAAAACGACTTACTTCCCACTACCTAAATGTAATCTTTTGTTTTCTACATATTAATTTCTTTTTTTTTTTTTGGTACTGGGAATCAAACTCATGACCTCACACTTGCCAGGCAAGCACTTATGCCACTGAGCTATACTCTCAGCCCTCTACATATTAATTTCTAACCCCCACACTCTACCTATAGCCTACCTTAATGCCCATCAACTGATGAATGGATAGAAAAGATTTTTAATAGCATGGAGTACTACTCAGCCATAAAGATAAAATGGAGACATTTATAGCTAAATGGTTACACCTGGAGACCACAATCATAAGTGAAACAAATTGGACACCCATGTAAATACCTCATTATCTGGAGTAAGAAAATGACACTGTAAATAAGAACCAAAATGCAAAATAGCTATTGTGAAATACAAAGAAAATGTTCAAAAGGAAAAGGAAACAAGGGAGTGGGGAGTAGGAAAGGAAGGGAAAGAAAAAAATCAGAAAAGGATAAAATGAAAACAAGAGCTCTGTGAACAGGGAGGGGGAGGGGGTTTGAAAGGAGGTGATGGGAATGGGAAAAAAGAGGAATCAAGACATATCATGCACAAACATAAATTCTGTATAATGAATTTGACCATTATGTGTGCCTGAACTGTACCAATAAACTTAAATTAAATAAAAAGTTTATAGCCTATCCTCAATTCCTTCTCACTACACTTATTTAAATTTCAAAAATTGGATTACTTTTCTGAGTTATGACCTCAACTAATTTAGGACTAAGTATAATTATATATAGCTTACTGAGCAGGATAATGCTCTAAGAAGCTCATGGTTAGACGATGATGTGGTAGACGATGATGTGGTAGACGATGATGTGGTCATCGTGCAAACATTATAGAGTATTCTCACACAAGCTAAGATGGCTATAATGAGATATATAATCTTACGGGACCACCAACCTATATGGTCCATCCTACATGACCAAGCAAGGTCAACATTAAATGTGCAAACTTTTGAGAACTACCTAACTTCCCCTAATGTTTACAGTACCCTTTCTCCTTGACTTCTAGCCACACCCCACTGCAACCGTCAGTTTTGCTGGCACAAACCAGCTTGGATAGACTGTGCAGCTTATTACAAATCAAAGCAAGTGATGTCATTTGATTTCTTTTTTATCTCTCATTGAGGGCCACTGAGACTGGTTAGAAAAAAGGAATAGGAAAGCCCGAATCAAAGTTGTCTATGCACAAGAAAAAGTTCAGGATGAACTTTATCAAGCCACCACTCCCACTCTTACCACCACCTAGAGTTTTCCCACTTTACATAAATTTCTGCACCACACACTGAACAGATAAAAGAGTTTATCAGATTCCTTTCTGTGGCAAGAAAGGCTTATGGCAGAATTTCTTCTTCTACTACAAGATTTCATTTGTAAACTGGGTGTAGTGGCACACACCCGTTATCCCAGCACCTTGGCAGGCTAAGGCCCAGGGATTACAAGTTTGTGCCCAGCCTGGGTAACTTAGTGAGAAACTCTCAAAATTTAAAAAAAAAAAAAAAATCGTTAACAGCTGAGATTGTAGCTCAGTATGAAGGCCCTGGGTTCAAGCTCCAATACTAGAACAAAATTTTTCTCACTGCCAATTCCATTAGGACTACTACTAACAGTCTAGAAGGGTATACTGTGTTCTAAGTGCATTTAATAAAAATATCTGTTAAAGCCAAACATGGTGGCGCACCCCTGTAATCCCAGCACTGGAGAGGCTGAGGCAGGAGGATCGCTGTGGGTTCAAGGCCAGCCTGTAGCACATAGCAAAACCTTGTCTCAAAAAAAAGAAAAAAAAAATCCTGTTAGTGTCCTTATAAGTGAACCTACATTGCTGAGGGAAAGTAAAAAGATCACAGGGCTCCACTGATCACAGGCTCCGGAGTCAGTGGGCTTGGTCAAATGCCAGCTTGGACGCTAGGAACTACATAGTCTGTGTGATCTTGGGTAAGTCTCTTATCCCGCGTCAATTTCACCCTTTCAAAATCAGGAAACTAAGCAGTTAGAGGAAGTAAGAAGTACGAAATTTGATTATGTATGTAAAGTGCCTGGCCCAGGAAACCTCAGTAAATGGTGGTTATTCCTTCCCCACCCATCTCCTGGCCTACTGAGATAGGGCTGAAACACCTGCTTCTTCATCAGATTGCTTCTGCTCGGCCACTAGTCCCATCCTATTGATTGGTGTCCCCCAAGAGAGGCGAGGGGTCAGCTTCCACCCCTTTCCACTGGTTCACTCACACGGCAGACACATTAAAGCCCACCATACAGGTCTCGGGAGGGGACGTGGGGATGAAGGAGGCCGGGATCCTGCCCTCAGAGACCACATCCTGCAGTAGGGAGAGAGACTGCAACCAGTGAAAGCAGAACATAGAGGACAAGGAGAGACGCGCGGGGGAAGCAGCTTGAGCTCTCCCCCACGACCGGGGATCTGTCGCTCCCAAGGGAGTGCAAGGCCAGGTCTGGAAGTACAGACCCCGCAGGTTCCACGCTGCTTCCTCTCCCCACCTCGCAGCCAGACCCTGAGGGTCCAGGCCCCTTGTCCACCCGTTCTGTGCGGGCCTTCCCTCCAGCCCCGCTCCAGGCCGGGGCCAACCTGCCTAGCGCACCAGGCCCAGCTCAGGCCTACCTGAACTCGGGTGGCTGCAGCGCGTTCAACGCCGCTTTATCAAGCCGCTCCATGGCGTCGCCGCGCCGGCAGCAGGCACTCGGCAGAGACGGCTTGGCCCCAGCGACCCCGCTCCCGGGCACAGAGGCAGGACCGACCCTCCGGAAGCGAGCTGAGCTGCCGACGGCGGGCGGAAGCACGCAGGCGCGGCGCGGCGCGGCGCGGCGCGGTGCGGTGACGTAGGACGGAGGCGCGCGCAGGCGCGGCGTGCGCACGCACAGGACTTACCCGCGGGGGCTGCGCGGCGTGCGCGCAGCCAGGGGGGGCTTGTGTTCGAGGAGCAGACCCGGCGAGTAGCCCAGCCACTCCACGTTGAGCCGGGCTTTTCCGCGCAGCATAGTCCTCCCGGGCGGGCGGCGGTGTTGGCACCTCCTGAGCTGCTCTGGGTAGCACTAGTCTCAGCCTTGGCCCCAGTCGCGGAGCTTCGGGAGCTAGGCGACCGGTGTAGAGGAGCTGCAAGGAAAGACGACTCGGGCAGACGGCCGCGGTGCTAGGCAACCGAGCAGTTTCTGACAACAACAACACAAACAATGCACGTTATTCCACCAGCCCTGGCGCAAGCCCCTCCTCAGTGACTTCCCGAAGTAGAAGTGCAACTGTGGGAAGCGGGAGGAGTTGGTTTACCACTCACCCGAGCCTGAGTAATTAGAGGTCTGCCGGTGGAAAGAGCCCTTGCCGAGAGTGACCCTGACTTCCACTTAAAGTTAGAAACATTCTATGCAGCTGCTCAAAAAGCCACCAATGGGACAAAGGGGACTCAAATAGTAAGGACAGATGGGCCTCCAGCACTCGCAACCCGAGAGAGGTATAAACGAGAAGGGTATGTGAGCCCGGGGTCACACTAGACAAAATTAGGTTGCCACTGGCTGCTAATATGAGCACAGTCCTTACACGGTCAACGCCTGGAAAGGGCCCCGGACCATACTGCTATTTTCTGCACCACAGGAATACAAAGATCACATCTGATACCATGACTAAACCAGCAAGTTAGGGTGGTAGAGAAGTGGGGCACTGAATACCAGAAAGCCCAGGTTTTACTTCAAAATTAAAAATCCTTCTCTGGGCCTCATCGAAATCCTTAAGTGGAAAAGAATCACCCCAGCGTAAGAACTTGGGAGAGAATCTAGCTTGGGGTTTGGCAAACCGGTCAGCCAATCATTACATGTACCCTACCACCTTATTCTCTACAATCCTTGAGCTAAAAATTGGCTTTCCATTTTTCACTGGTTGAAAAAAGAATAATAATTTCCCACCACGCATGAAAGTTACAAAATTCAAATTTCAGTGATTATAAATAAAATAAGCTTGTATCAGAACTGAGCCATGCTCATTCATTCATATTATTTACACAGATGGTATTTCTAGAAAGCCTACAATACTTACTATCTGGCCCTTTACAGGAAAAGTTTGCAAACCCCTGTTCCAGCTAATCACCCCACAATTAGGTCCTTAAACTCCTAGAGATCCACAAATACTCATGGGGGTTCTTAGAACAATCACCAATATATTTGAAAACCTAACATATATATTTATTTGCTATAGAACATAAAAAGCTACTTAACATCTCACCTGTTTGATTTGGGGCACTAATTATATCACATCGATGAGTTAATCCTGGTTAACTGAAGAGAAAATGTACAAATTACTACTAAACTAAAATAAGCCATAGTATACTGAGTAGATCTTTTAAAATATGGAATGAATAAAAGGGGAAGGAGTATGTTTTCCCAATGCATAGAATAGGGCCGTGAGTACAGTAGGCACTGAATAAATACTTGTTAAATGAATCAACGTTGTCCGCAAGGGTTCTTATTAGTAAAAGCAGTGGGAACCACTGCTGGGGGCTGCCATTTTTAAAAAAGCATCAAAAACTATGTGGTGAGGGGCCGGGGATGTAGCTCAGCGGCGTAAGTGCCTGCCTGGCAAGCACAAGGTCGTGAGTTCGATCCCCGGTACCACCAAAAAAAAAAAAAAAAAAAAATGCTATGTGGTGTAAACAACAGCAGTTAATCATCTCTCCATTTGCACACTAGGTGTCTGAGACTAAGCTGAGGTCTTTCTGAGGGTTTCAAGAGAAGGCTGTGTTCCACACCTCTCTCAGCTTCTGGGTGTTAGCTGGCACTCTTTGGCATTCCTACATATATGTCTGGTCCAAATTTCTTATTGTCCTAAGAACACTTGTCATACTACATCGGGGGTGGCACTTTGCTCCTTTATGACATTATTAACTAATTATACTTGTGACAACACTATTTCCAAACAGAGTCACACCTTGAGGTACTGGAGGGCAGAACTTCAGCATATGAACAGAGAGGTGTACAATTCCAGCCATAATAACTGCACAGATGAGGAAACTATGGATCAGAGAGGCGAAGGGGTCTGCAGGAGTCTCCCAACTAGCTAGTGAAACCTAGCTTCACTCCTGACTCCCAGTCTGACAGCTCACCCAGGAGCCAATTCATACATGAGATTCTATACAGAACAAAATGCTCACTTAATCTAATTTACATGTTTTGTTTTTTAAAATCTAATTTACATATTTTGGTCTTTTTTATAATCTGCTGTACCTATAAATCTTTCTATACCTTTTTTATGATGACCTACACTGTACCACCATTTACTGTGAGCTCACTGAGACGGACAAAGAACTTTAAGAATAAACTCAGAAGCTGTAAAAGAAGGGAAGTATTTAGCCACCGCTCTGCATGGACAACAAAGCCCTGGAACCTCCCACCTGAGGCAGCTGCTAGAGAATTAGAGACAAGTGGAGCTCAAACAGGCTGTTGCCATGGGAATGAAATGGCAAGTAAGGGGCGGTGGTCAGGACAGAGAAAATTACAGTAGTGCCTCCGTTAATTCTCTGAGAATCAGAGAACGATTCTGAAAAAGCCCCACTGTTAGTTGAGAAAGCTGACGGCTAAGGATGGGAAAGAACTGGCCCCAAATACCGTGGCTCGGTGATAACATTTGAGAATTTATAGACTCTAACTCAGTCTAGTGTTTTCTGCACTACCTTGTTGGAAGGTTCTGTATATTAACCCAGTGACGTGGAAAGTATGCACCCAAAGTCAGGTAGGCGTCCCACTTGCTTCACTAACCCACAAGGCCGCATTTCCCCACAGATCCCTTGCGGGCCGTGGCTGGGGGGTTGGGTGGAACAGCCGTAGTTAAACACCAATGGTACTTTCTGAAGCCTGACTTTGCAGTACGGCATTTTCGAAACCAGGACACAAGGAAAACAAAAAAAGCTACTAAGGATTATTATCCACATTAAAACCTCTGCTGTCAGGATCGCATGTGTCTATTGCTTCATTGTACAGAGCCACTTTCCAGTGCTTAGAATGTTATACCACCTCATTTCACAGGTAGAAAAGAAGGGTGACAGAAAATTTCAGCTTGGTGAATTTACAGCTTCTTTTTCCCTTGAGTGTCAATTCATCACCCTCAATTCACCCAGAGCTCTAAGCAGGGCACGGACCAATGGCGCCAGGAAAGGCTCAAGGTCCATACATGGCAGCTGCCCTTCCCTATCTGACTCATGCACTACCTGGGAAAGAGAAAGCACCCACTGGGAAGTCAGGAAAGGGATCCTCCTGCATGCCCAGAGTGGTGTGGGATCAACCCAGCACCCCACGTCCCCTGCCATACCAACAGGGGAACCCTGCCCAGGAAGTGTGGCAAGGCCCCAGCTGCCAACCCCAAACTGAAAGATCCTGCCCCAAGTATTCTCCTGACGGGCCCCCCACCACGGGCTAACTTATGGGGAGGGTGTGGGGCTGGACAAGGGCTCCCTGAGGAGTCACGTGACAGGGCTACACCCCAAGGTAGGTACACAGGTTGTGCCCAGCAATCACCAGGCTCGGAAGAGGTCGTGGAGACCAGAGCAGGAACACCCGCTCACAGCCCATGGGACCACGCCTCAAAGCAGGAGCATGGGGTGAAGTTTGCTTTCTCCGGCCCCAACCCCGTCCTGACATGCCCATCCCAACTGCCCTTAATTGTTGGACGAAATATATACATATTTGATGAATAAGTGAGAGGGATTTAAACGAGCACCCAGCGTTTGCTGGATCGCAAAGCGAAACAACTCTAAATTTTTATTCAGTTTTTGTGTTTAATCCTGTTCTCCGGTTATACCTTTTCCTTGGTTGGGTTTAAAAAGATAGAAGCATGACATAAAGGAAAAATGAAGGTGCCCCAAGAAAAGGAAACGAGGAGAAGCAAGACAAGGAGGAGCTGGTTTAGGGTAGGGCTAATAAAAGACAGGGAGTGTCCCTCGGTGCTGGAGCACCTGCAAGCCCCGGGGTTCCTTCTCCAGGACCTAGCGGTGAGGAGACATTCCCGCCTTGTGAGACTGGTAAGGTGCTTATTCAGTCACTGGAAAAAATACATGTATATATATTCACAGGATACAAAGGTAATTTAAAAAATCAAAACCTATTTTATATACCAATAGTGAACTAGCTGAAAAAGAAATTTTACAAATTCCATTCACAATTACTTAAAAAAATACATCTTGGAATTAACATAACCCCGTAGGTCAAAGACCCCTACAGTGAAAATTCCAAAACAGCAAAAAAGCAATTGAATAGGGCATTAGAAAATGGAAAGACAACACTTGTGCATAGATCAGCAGAACCAATACTTAAAATGGCAATATTACCAAGTGATCTACAGATTCAGTGTAACTATCATCAAAATGCCAATGGCATCCTGCAGAGAACTAGGAAAAATAATCCTACAATTCCTATGGAATCAGGAAAGACCCAGAATAACCAAAGCATTTCTAAAGAAAAGGGGCAAGCCTAGAAGCATCACAATATCCAGTCTCAAATTATACTACAAAGCTACGGCAAGAAAGACAGCATGGACCCTAGACCAAAGGAACACAGCACAGGACACAGAAATAAACCCACAAAACCACAACCATCTGATTCTGGATGAAGGAGCCAAAAACATATGTTGGAGAACAGACAAGCTCTAACAAATGGTGCTGGGGAAACTGGATGTCCATATGCAGAAGACTGAAACAAGATCACTATCTCTCACCTTACACAAAAATCAATTCAAAATCGATCAAAGACTCAAATATAAGACCTGAAACTATGCAACCATTGTAGAAAAATATAAGGAAAACACTTTAAGATTTTGGCACAGGCAACAATTTCCTGAAAAGGACTCTACTAAGTCAGGAAATAAAAGAAATAATTTAAAAATAGAATTATATCCAATTAAAAAGCATTTTCAGAACAAAGATAACAATCGACAGGGCAAACCCACAGCCTACATCATGAGAGCAGATCTTTGCCAACTACTTTTCCAACAGAGGATTAATATACAGAATACATAACGAACTCAAAAAACCAACACCAAAAAAATCTCGCTGAACCGGGCCCTCTCTCTTTTCTTCAGAGTTATGTACACAGTTGGGCTTAGCGGAATGAGTGAATAAATCTTTCTTCCTTCATCTAACAGGGAAGGCGTGTAATGGGGTGTTAGCCTTGGCCCCTGACACCACAGTAACGATGGCATCCCACAGTAAAACATTTTGTGTGTAAATATCACTTAAGACTACACAACAGTTGTCAAACAGCGCGGCCCTGATAGAAGCCAGTGCACCAACCTGGAAGCATTTTTACGGTAATCATTTCCCCATAAACCTTGGAGCTTCAAAGGAGGGAATTCAAACCCTTTGCTAGAATGTTGCAACTGGAAGGAGCTTTCAAGA